TTCAGGTCGTTTTTTATTAGCCAAGAAACGTTCCGAGCGCCTGTGCTCTCGCCTACTTCTTTGCGCACACACCCGTGGACCACCCTGGGGCCGATATATTTCCCCAAACAACAGCAACCGGTGCGGTCACTGTCGATGTATATACCGGCATGTTCAAATCCAGCATGTTCAAATTCAATTATATCTCCTGCCTTGGCTTCTTTAACAAGTTCCTCCGCTGTCTGCCACTTTGAAACCCACTGTGTAATCATTGTCATCTGAAAAAAACAACAAACAAACAACAAACAATTATTGTTTTGATTTATTTCCTTGATCGTTGGCATCGCAAGTCGATGTACTACCAGAAATGACATGAATAATTCACCTTCAGATCTTCCCGAAAAAGTTACGGAAGTTTTTAAAAGGCGTAGTTGTCGCGCCACGCATGCGCGAGATATATGGGTCTCATATAAACAAAGATGGCGACTTTGGCTGTTGCGCAGATCAACGAGTACAAACTTGGACGTTACCAAAATTTGTTACGTGATTTGAAGGTATCGAAGGAGTCGCCAACAGTAATTAGTGTAAGTCTCGCCCAGGTCAAACCTCTTACTTCGTACGCGGCGCGACGACTACCGCCCTTTAATATTGAAAAACGTATTTCATTCTAATTAAACGAAGACCTGTGATTGACATGACGGTCGGCATAGCTGTAGGTCCATCATGATGATAGCTATTCTTGTGTCGGCGTTTTGTCTGAGTAATGGTATTTTAGTCATTTTTTATACATTTATAGTAGTGTCATTAAATTTGTTGTATTTTCAGATATTAGGATTTTTATCGACACGAAGTGTTCTGGTTCACAAATACAAGACGATATAGGTACACCATTTCCCACAGTCAGAAACTGTCACCAATCAATAGTAATTATTATTAAACACTCGCCAGCGCGAAAACTGCAACAAAATTTAGATTTAGGATTTAAGGGATTTAGGTCGCCTAGACCGTGCGTAATTCTAGCGACAGCTAAGCATTTCTCTCAATACTGTGGTCAGTTCCCGCTTTATGGAAGTATCCAACAAGTCCACCAGGAATGTCTACTCCAGTGACGTCATATTGCCACCAGAGAGTTACGGTTCGGGCATTAAATCCCGGGAAAACGGAACATCAAACTAATCGTGTTTGTCACCATAGTGTACATGTAATTCGAAAAAATACGAAAAAGAAAAACATTCTACTTTTAACGATACCGTTTGGCGTCGCACGTTTTCGGTACGCAAGTCAATGTTAAGAACCATGACTATCTTCTAAGGACACCGAATGTAATAGAATTGACTAAAATAACATCACAAAACTAAAGACCGACTAAAGAGGTATGGCCCCACACCTACGGTCGACAACAAAGGGATATCAGGTCGTTTTGATTGGTCAAATATTTGTTTTCAACCATTTATTTTCAGTCATTAAAGTGAAAGGCAGAAGGCTGTGGACTTTATAAATTTTTTTATAAATATAAATTTTAGTAAATCAAAATGACAGTTTCGCGAGCGTTTTATTTTGGATGAGTGGGCGGTCGTATTTGCTATGAAGATGGAGATCAAATTTACATTTTTTGGGACAGTTTGAGTTGTAATAATGACCATGTTGATATAACAACTTCAAAAATAACTTAATAACCCTAACGTTTTATGGCTCATAATTAAAGGTCAGAGGTCGTCGCGCCGCGTCCTGTTCGATATGGGACTCATAGCGACGTATACAACGCGTGTAAAATACATTGTTTATTTACATGAAATTCGAACACGCGCTGCGAGACGACCACCGCGCTTTAAAAGTCCATTAATATAACCATATAATTTTTAAAAAAGGCACTCTGCTTGAAAACAAGTTGATGTTACTTTTGATGTTGGCACATGGCTGCATGGAATGAAAAAGTCCCCTATCCCCCTTTATGTTATACCCTATAACCCTTAGCAAAATATAATATGGTCAAGGTGGAAATACACTCCTGCCCTATGTGAATGAAAAGACTGAGTTATGTGTTCCTTATCCTGACGAGGTCGCGTGCGTTTCGCCCTCCGCGGTGCTCCAAACCCAACACGGCCGGTGAGTGCCTACTCACGCTTACATGCCAGGATCCGCGACCCCCTCTTTGTACTTAGACTATTATATGTAGCAGTCTGAACTTTCTATTATCCTTGGCTCAACTTATGACCTCCAAGCTTATTATTATATCTCGTTCGCTTCGTTTTTTGTCATGTTATTCAAGTCCCTGACTTTTAATCAGGGACTCTGTTTGAATGTTTTCTTTTAATTTATAAAACGATTCATGAGTGTTGAATTATCTTGATATTTCAGACACAAGTGTGAAAACAACCTTGAGTGGAAAGTGATCGTGAAAGAGACTCACATATACCATTTACAAGTATCGTGAACACATTGATATTTTTCCTGTCTGAAGGGTAGCACGCGAATAGTGACGTAAAGATGTTTTCAGCGTAATCATCGTAGAATTATATATATTTATTTTATGCGCATGCTCATTGTAGAATTAACGCTTGGTAGCGTGTCAGGTTGTTGGTACTCGTTAATCTGCGCAACAGTCAAAGGCGCGATCTTTGTTTATTTGAGACCCATATATCTCAGGAATGCTGTTAATACTAGTATATGACTTACCTAGACAATATGCAAAGAAAAAGCAAAGACCTTGTTTTCTATGGTTTATAGTTTGGTCACAGTCGATCCCTCTGTGGTTTTATCCGGAGTTTTCGTTTAAAGACGTAATCAAATTCTAGCCTGTGAAACAACAGCGATGCAAAACCGTCACGGTCCAACAGAAGTATATTTCACCTTTACGACACAATATACTCACCTATTATATATGTTGAGTTAAGTTCGAATTTATGCACCATGGAACTGAAAACAGAATGGAAATACAGACTATGCGAGTGTCATGTGATCTCATTCATGTTCACAGGCGTGGTCGAGGCCAGGGTTCATACTTGTTTGTTTGAGATACTTGTGGATCTCAATGGGTGAATGTGCCTTCCTTTGGTGCTACGATATCTTGTTCACGCATGCGCACATCGACTTTCTTAATGTTACATTACAAAAAAAGGCATCACCGATAGTTTTTAAGCAACAGAAGCAAGCAGCGTGGCGAAATGAAACGCTGTACAAATTACATAATTCAGTTGAAACTAAGTTGCATATGCATTGCAGATATTTACACAAAATCAGTATTTACTTCCGGGCACCTAAAGCTCGACAATATTCTTTATTTTATCTGAAACCCACGAAAATTCTCACGAAAAATATTTTTTCATTGATCCTAAAATTATGAAGAAAAAAATGAAAAAAAGAAGCTGCGAAGCGAACGTTTTTTAACACACGCGCGTGGTGACCAGGAAAACGATTTTTTGGCATTATTTGACACCTACTAAACTGTCATGTCATCATCACGGTCCAAGCGAAGAACTGGTTATCCAGATAATTGCTACGTTTACACGACAACATTTTATCGGTGCCATACGGCTCCACCCGGCTCGAGCCAGCAAAAATTGGCATGTTTACTCGTTCGGCTCGAGCCAAGTTCAGCTCCAATAAACCCCCATGGTTGAACTCCGATAGGGTTGGGTCCAAACATTGCTCGGACCGTGTATACGCATCGGACCCCAAGTATCGGGCCGAAATCGCGCCCTCAATCGTCTTCTTCAAGAAGACAATAATGTTTGTAATTTTGCGTAATTTCTGGCTTGACGTTGAGGTACGCGCCCTAATATATATTTGACAGAGTAAAGAAATACTACGTACGATGGCGTACGAACTGAATTATGCGACAATAACTTGAACAGATCTAATTGAAATTGAAGAAACCTTTTAAAGACACTGAAGATAAAAATCGTAGAAGCGGTCACTGTACGGCGACGTGTTTGTACTAGGTTTAGGTTGACAACTGTTACACATATCACAACAGTTACAAGATGGTGATACTAGAGTAACTTAGCGAATTATCTGTAGCACATTTAACGTACTAAATACGGCGCTGTTCGGCTCTGATCGAACTGAATTAAACCCTGGCAGATCTTGGCTCTCGTTCGGCCCCGACCGTATGAACGCATTGAAAGAATCTTCTGTTAATCGATAGGAAGAAGCAGTATTTCGGCTCCGATAGAACGCTGCCTTGTAAACGATGAGGTCGCGTGAGTTGCGCCCTCTGCGGTGCTCAAAACTCACCACAGTGAAGTCTGATGCCGTTCGGCCGTCGATGGCCCTACTCACGCCAACACGTCAGGCTA